AGGTATTTAGTACCCAGTAATACCTAGTATTCATGTGCAAAGATAATTTATGTCCACAATGCAATTGCGACTGTAGTATCCATTTCAAGGACAATCCTCACCGCAAAACTAAAGAAAAAATCCAACCGATTAAGATAAAGTTTATTTCTTACCTATAAAAAAAAAGTCTGCTTCTTCTTTCATTCGATTGTATTAATACAAATTGATCCTTAGGTCTTTAACGAGATGACATTATTGTGGTAAGTTCGACAAGCAAATATGTAACAATGGAAGATGTGCAAAAATCGTACTAACAGCTAATGGGTACTATTGCTGACGAACACTCTCTCTCTTCGTTGCGTAGCAAAGCAGGGCATTAAGTTAATATGCTTCAGTTTTTTCGCTAAGGCTACATATTTTTAGAACACAATAATAGCAATATTCTTAATTTAACATCTACATTTTATACAAAATAGAGAAGAACAAGTAAGAACAATCAGCCCGCCATTAAATACCCTACGCCACTTCGCTTAATGCAGTCATTCATGGAACAACTTTTCAGAATAAGGCGTTATATGGGAAGTGGTTGAAAAGGTGATCCGCTTTGATTAATTTTTTCAATTGGGTTCATCCTTGGGTCAAAACATGTCGGTGTCGGTGCATCAAAATATTTCCAAAAATACGGGAAGACAGACAGACAAACAAACTTAGAACGTTGCAAGACACTGATTATGATAATAACAAATGGTAGACATATCTCAAGTCTTTCTGGATGCGGCTAACATCAGCATAAGCCTAATATAACCTCGTATCACAGGTGGTGTAAGGTATAAATATTCCAAGACGCAAGCAGATCGTTTGAGTGTACGGAGCAATTATCTTGCTTTCGTTTTTCTGTTTTTTATGTTATGTTTTTTTATTTATTTTTTTTGTTACCACATTTTTAGTCATAAATTATTTAAATTGTTTGTGCCTTGTGTTGTTGTGTTTGAAGTCGTTGAAGAATTTATTTGTTTATATTTGTTTTTCACAAAGTTTCCTTTCGTTTCACTTCAAGTTTATCTTCTTCATAAATAATTAAATAAGATAATTCTCATGACAATAAAAACTAAATAAACAGCGCAAAGCTCTTAAGTTTGTTTGCCTTTTTTTTTTTTTTTCATTTAATTTTATTGCTTAAATCGCTTCGAAGTAAAAATAGAAACAAAAAAAAAGGCCTAAGCTAAGATTTTGGAAAACTTTCAATGGGCGAGCAGGCGGGCAGATAGATATCCTTGCCTTCACACAAAAATACCCAATTTTGTCTCTTAAAGCCCTTATTGGAAAAGCGAATTAAATGCAAACAAATTTTCTCTCTATAATGAATTCCTTCTTCTAATAATATTCTAAGAATTGTGTGCAATATGATTACATACTTAGTTGATAGTAACCATAAGTGCTTGGATTTTGATATTGATTGTATTATTTATTTAAGGATTCAAACGAAAACAAATATATATATATATATATATATTTTTTTATTTTCTTTGCATAAAGTTTGACCTAAAAAATGAATGACTGATATGTACGTTTTATATAGACATGATATTATTTAAGGATTTAATAGTAAGTAGAAAAAAAAAAACTTTCTTCTTCATAACGTTTGCCATAAAAATAAATGCTTTGCAGTTGGCATTAATGGCGTAATAAATTAATTGCACTATAATGTGTTTGTTTTTGCTGTTTCAATATAAAGAAAACAAATTAAAACCGTACAGCACTAGTATTAAATACCCTACACGTATTCGCAAGATTTGAATTAGATGCGTGGGTTAGCCCCATTGTATTGAAATGGCCCAATCAAGCCGATTTTGAAGTGTGTTCATCACGTCATCATTTTATGTTCATCTTGTAAATAATTATACGAAAAAAATTATCGATTTTTGACGTTGGAACATTTAAATGAAATGGCATCGGGTTTTGGATTACCTCCGACCATATGAGTGCTCTTACAAAACATAAGCTAAAGTCTAATCGAAAGCTTTTAACTTTACTATTTTGTGATAAAAAATGGTGCCAGGATAGGTTTGCGTTGAATAGGTCTCTTTTTCGGGCCGCTCCCTGTGTAAGAGTGCTCATAAAAAATATAAGCATGCATATGGGAACATCGTTTATTTTGTAGTATTTTACAATTAAAATTCGCACAAAATACTAATTGGACATATAAGTTTACTAAGGCAAGCTTGCATTGCATAGGTTCATTTTTTGGATCGCTCCCTATGTGAAACTTCTCATAAAAGGGGTAACCATTCATATGACGAGAAGGTCGTTTAATTTGCAGTATTTTATGATTGAAATTGGGAATTGGAATAGTGATTTGATATATGTATTCATGGGGATAAGCTTGAACTACGTAGGTCTATTTTTGGCAGCTACCTAGCTTATAAGTGTTTTCGCAAAAAGTAGACGACATTTACAAGACAACAAAGTTCAGTTGTTGGTCTTTTATTATAACTGTAAGCGGTAAAACATTTTATTAGGGGAAAAGTTGTGGTTTAAGCTATTTAAAAATTCCCTCTTGAATTTTTACATGGGTACCCACGGCCTGGCAACATAACGTATTAATTCAAAAAGCGAGATAATTGACGCCACGCAAGGAGTAGAGCAACAACCGTAATAAGAGGCCCCCCGTTGCTCCTCACGTCCCACGATGACGAAAAGTGCGTGGGAATCATTTCTCTCGTAAATCTCGTCAACGTCGAGAGCTTCCTAATATTTGATCATTTATTGTTTCTATGTTTCCCACGATAAGACTCCGAGTTTTGGGAAGAGAGTCTCTCAATGCTTCTGCTGGGAGGAGTTACATACAACTTCTTTTGGGCAACCTCATTCCATACCGCGGTCGATTTGTGTTTTAAATATGTAATCCATGCCCTTTTCCCACCAGCCCACTGGTACAACTTCCCCTGACTGAATAGTAGAGAGAGTAGTTGAGTGGCCTCCATAGTCAGCAATCGTTTAGGATAAAAAAGAAAAAAATCTTTTTTCACAGAAGAGAAGAGGGACCCCCCCAATGTTCCTCTCAGGTCTAGATAATAAATTGTAAATCTTTTTTTGCCGACAACCGTTCATTTCTTAAGATAAGAATAGCTGTGTATATAATGGAGATTGCGAAGAGGTTAGGGTATCGGCACTGCTACGCTCTCCGTCATTGAGAAACGCAGGACCTGCAACCAGTTATTTAACCGTCAACCTTGCTTGAATGTAAATCTGGTAATATGTTAATTCGTTTTATTAGTCAGTAGTGGTGTACATAGTATTTAAATCTGTCCGATTTTTCAATTATTGAAGTGTGACATCTTTGATGAGTATTAAGGCAAAAAAAAACGTACAGATAACTAAATTCAAGCCACATCATTCAACAATCAGCCACATGTGACTTCTGGCTACTTCTTAAACTCAAAGGATCAATCTGGGAAAAACGTTTTCATTCGATTGAAGAGATACAAGTTGAATCGCATAAAGCTTTGAAAGCCATCCCGAAAATCGACTATAATAACTGTTGTTGAAAATCTAGTAAAAAACATACGATATTTTGATGCTACAAAGTTTAAAAAAACATGTCACTGATTTTAAGTAAAAATACTCTGCCAAAAGTCGACTATAAAATAAATCTCTTGAAGTGAATCATCGAAAAAAAAAGCTATTATTTATATCACAGTCACGATCCGCCGATAAAAAATTAATAGTAATGGCCAAGTTGGAAATCGTAGTTGCGAAAAAAAAAGTGTCTTTAAAGTTTACTTCATCTTTCTTGGCGACTTCATTCTAAACCAAGTGCCTTTTTCGAACCGTGTAAAGAATTCGAAGGTCTCATGTGAAACCGTTTTTGGATAGCATTCTTTAATGTTCAATCGAGTGAGAGCACAGAACTATAAAAAAATTTGAAAAAATCCTCCTTGTCGCTGACTGAAGTTTCTGAAGCGCAGTCTTTTTAGCGCAGAGCATTCAAGAGTTCGTTCGACCGACGAATTCAAAATTTCCTATATATTGATGTGACTGTAGTTATCAGATTTCATTGACGTAATCTCTTTCCTAATCTTATTCTCGAATATATTTACTGGGCAAAATATGTTTTCATTTTGCCTGCCAATGACTCGTTTTAGATATGAGTAATGTGATAGTGTCATCCTAACGGTATTAACGTGTGCACTCATCTCTGAATTATCTTTAATAATCCTCTTACGATACTTCATTGAGTGGTATACACTGCCCAATTCAATTAAGGTTATATTTAGTACATAAATCTACTATACGCCAGTAGACGCTCATTTTAATATTGAGAAATCGAAACCTATTAAGTTAAGTAAGCGGAAAAGAACTGTACGTTGGGATTGAATCGTTGATACCCTCCATCTTGAGCAAATTTCTTATATATGCAAAGGCAAAGGGCTTTTGATGATTGTATGTGTAGATTACACAACTATTTTTAAAGCTCACTTACAATCTCGCTACATCGTGTTGATTTATATGGACATGTTGTTGTCGTCTATATTTTAGAACATGCGCTTAAGGGATCTCAATCATGGACATAATTGCTAGACTTTTCCAGTAAATTTTGTGAATACGAGCAGGGACTAATAACCGAAATTATGTTAAGAAAGCCCTCTTTACTCACATAACGAACATCTGTTATGCTCTCTCTCTCTCTCTCTCTTATTTGATTTGTATTACAAATCAAACGATGCAATTACTATACCATCATATTTAGGTAGTGCGTATAAAAAATTTAAATTGAATATTTACATATAATAACAACAGTGTGAAATGATTATTATTATTAATATTATAATTTTGAAGTGATATTTATCTGTTAATTGTAAATGCAAACCTGAACGAATAATTTTTATTAATTATTTCACAAGCTTAATACAACACACGTGCGCATCGTGTGCGCTTTGTCGTGTGTATTTTTCGATTATAAATTGCAAAGAATTGAAAAAAGGCAAAAAGAGAATTTCAATGTTGTTTATGGATTACAGGTTTATGAAAGTAATTCCAATCATTCTTCATCGAATCAGCGTGATATAAAGCCTCTGAGGCGCAGTGATTCACGGCCTAATACACCCACTTTACAACAACAACAACAACAGCAGCAGCAACAGCATCATCATCATCACCACCAACAACAACAACACCAGCAGCAACAACTGCAACAACAACAAAGCCATCAAACTCAGGCGCAAATATTACAACAGCAACAATACCAACAACAACAAATAGAAAATGGTCATGGTCAATATCCGTAAGTTTTGATTGGAATTTTGTTCCTTTGTTTTTGTTAATTAATTAAAGATTTTTTATTATTAATTGAATTTTTATTGCATTTAGTTGCTATATTTGCAAAACATTATGTGCTTCCAATAAAATGGAGTGGTTGTCTACAAGTGCAGAGCACATGAATTCCCACGCCATGCATTTTCCTTGCCTCAAAGGCTCCAACAATTCGAATAGTGGCCGTGATAGCAATTTATCAACTAGCAGCGTAACGCCCATCAATAGCGATCCGAATGGTAATCGCGTGTTAGCCTGTAAGGATTGTGTTAATCATTTGGCACGTCAATGGGAGACTATGGATGCCGAACGTGTTCCGTTGGAGCATAGAAGGTTGAATTTCGTTTCTTTTTTTTTTTTGCTTTCAAATAACTAATAATTTTGCCAAAATTTTATTAATATTTTTCATTTGATTTTAGATACAACATTCCTTCTCCTATTATAACCTCAACTTCACCGAATGGTTCTCGGCATGGTGGTTTAAGTATTAATACACCTCCGTCAACGCCGTCGGTATCATCAACGCCTGCTACAACAACTTCCATTTATTGCTTCCTATGCGGTTTACATTCAGATTTAACACTGGCACGAGTTCTCTACGCCAGTAAAGAGGTATATTTGAATTTTTAAGTCTAAAGTTACGCCTTTGCTAAGTAAACTAACAAATCAGAATATTTTTAAAAAGTACCCGAACATAGTCGTTGAACTCAAATGGACGACTGTAATTATTCGTGTAATTAAAATAATGTGTATGTAGCAATTGATACGATACATAATCGTCTTAGAAGCACTCACTCTCCAAAAGATTCACGTTCTTCTTATCTAACTATGACTTTAATAATTATTGACGGAAAATTTCATATTGAAAAGCTGTAGTACACCCAGCCCTACATATTGGATTAAAATATATTAAGGTTCTCGTATTTTTAAAATTTATTTTAGTTTTTTTAACTATCATAAGAGGACAGGTTTGCGAATGTTTGCAATACCAAGGAGAAAACTTCAGGGACTGCAGTAGGAAGTGTACATATTTTTGATCAGCACCAAATTCTGCTTCTTTGTGTAGTGTTTACGGTAAACATTCCCCTGATAGCAAAAGTAAAGACATCGACTTTTTCAGCATAATATTTGGCAAAAATATTGCAAGTGCTTGGACAGAAATTAGCACACGCCTTCACCACCACAGCAGTTGGGAACAGTTTTTATTGAAAAAAAAAAATATATCGAACATATTGCTCACTACTTAGATAAAACTAAAAAAGGTTTCGTGTGCATTCCACAAACGATTCTGTAGCAACTTATTATAAAAATGAAAAAGATCGACCACGCCTACTGTTACAGTTTATCGAAATTTATCGAATTTTTTTGTCAAAACGCTTGTAGCATTGTATAAACATCCTTGGAAGGATGGCCTTGAAATTTGCACAAATAGGGAAATTTATCGCACGTAGATTGGCATCGACAATGAGCCAAACTTGTCAAAAGATACGGTTACATTGCAGCAGAAACTAAGAAAATCGGTGCTTAATGGGCTCTCTGCCAATAACTTATAAACTGCAATAGACAAGCGATAAAAGTTGAAATCTAACGGCCACGTCTCCACAACGCTGGAGTCAATGGAAATTGAACTGTGTTCCTTTTTTTGTCCTTTTTTTAGGGTATAAAAGAATACGTCGCACCGAATATAATTTATTTGCTTGTTTCAAAATTTATTTGTCATTAGAATACAACAATGTCTTCATTTATTGTATTAGAGACGGGTAACTCTGCTCAAATTCCTAAAAAACAAAGTTGTTTACGTTTTTGTAAATTTTAAATGATGTAGTGTTCTGTACAACTGCACTTCTTCAGCTATAGCAATAAAAACAAAATGCTTCCTTTCATCAGATAATAAATAGATATTATGTTTATACTGCACTACAATCGCTACGCAAGCATTAAATTTATGTAATTTCCCCGATGACTTCTTACGCCTTGCAGGCTAAATTAAGTAAAGAAGAATATGTTCAACTTTGTTCCGCGTCTTCATTAATATTTTGAATTTGTAATGACTTTTTTCATTTTCTTATTTATATATTTTTTTTTTTTGTATTCCTTTTTAGAAATGTAAGAAAGAACTCATAAAGACGAGGGAGTTATTTCATTCTGAGTAATATTTTTGGGCAAAAAAATCATTAAATATTAAACAAATTTTTCTTTTCAATTTTTTTTGGAAGGGAAAATGTTCCCGACAATTATAAAATAATGCTGATTATTATTACTATTCATATCCCACGCTGGAAGAGCACATGATGCTTCGATATTAAACGCACAAGTAATTATCGCTCGATTTTTACAAGTGGATTAATTTCTCAGAAATTCATTTAATCACGAAAAGTGAAATGTTGTAAATGATTGTCTAAGCAAAGCAAAGTTTATTCACAAATTCTTCGAAAAATTGCAGAAAAACACTACGATTCCTAGAAAATTCTCAAATCTTTTTAGCTTTTACAGGGTTTGAGTGAGTGTTCTCTAATATTTAAAGAAAAAATGAATAATTTACTACTTACTACTTGTACCGAGATGATTTGAAGGACAATGAGGTCAGTCTACATTAAGGCTCGTACGATTTTTACTTCCCTGAAATAATCAAGTTTGGTGAAGATTTGCGGAGACCTCATCACTAAATAATTCAATCGGTGGTAGTGACGCGTGATATGTTAAGAAAATAGGGACATAAGATATATCAGGTCTTCAACTACATATTGTTTAATGAGATTTCGATACTGCTACTACGTGCTATGCTTACATAAGAAATACTACGCAATTTTGAAGGAAATTTTAATTTTTTTTTGTAGACAAATTAAAGTCAAACCTTGGAAAAGTGTGCGGCTTAGAAAATCATAATTTGAAAAACGAGGCTGGTCCAAAATAATTTGTTAAAAGTCAAGGACTTTCTAATCTAAATTGTCTTGATTTTATTTGCTGGTTTTTGAACCCCTAGGCGAAGATTGAAAACAAATAAATTTTCGCATTGTTTCTTATTAGATATCAGGTTTTCTGAGTCAATAGAACTATATGCGTACTTTCGTCTATTAGAGTTAAGTATTTTGAAAATTACACTAACAAATTATTGTCACTTTGTTGTCTATTGCTATTTAAAATATTGCTAACGAAATGTAATCATTTTTCTTTAGGGTTCACGTCCATATTTTCCTTTTTTCTTAAAACACAACACTTTACCAAATGCCGAGCAATTGCGTAAAGATATGTCAGCTCTGGTGTGTACCTTTTGTTTTCATTCATTGGTTAAGCAATGGCGCAAGTATGTTCCCAATTATTTATCTTAGCTATGTATGAAAGTAAATTGTAATTTAAAAAATTTCTTCCATTATGAACATCATCTTAGATATGAGTCTCAAAGTTCTGCTGTGAATCCTCTTGATCGTAAATATAATTGGCATGATTATATTTGCCATTTATGTGGCATTACAACGTATCGGAAAAGGGTGCGAGCTTTGCCGGTCAATGAGTTTCCGTTTTTGAAAAATCGGAAAAATGATGACGGTCTCCTGCTGGAAAACGGTGAATATGCAGTCGTGTGCTTAGATTGTTACGAAAGTCTAAGGTAAGCCTAACAGCATTTTAATATTGGAAAAGTGCACAGGATTAATTTATTCTTATTTACATTGCAGGCAGCAAGCCTCAACGCATGAACGTTTCGGTGTTCCGATCTCAAAGCGCGCTTACAATTGGGTACCACAACCACCACCGCCCGAAGACAGTCCTGACGCTGCAGTGGCTCGTTTACCTTGCGGTGAACGTTCTGATCGGATTGTAGGTTTTTTCTTTTTTTTTTTTTTTTTTTTTTTGCGTTGCTTAACATTTGCCATAAATCAATTACCTTTCTATCGCTTATTCCGTATTTCAGCCGCTTAATAATACCATGAGGCCAGTGGCTTCGTCAGCCAAAAAGAACAGTTCACCAAAGCTATACGATAAATCTAGAGAAGGTAAGTGTTTTCCTCTGCTTGTATTGCGCATATCGAATTTCATTCGTAAAATAATAAGAAAACTTAGAAGAAAATGCCATTTAACATTATATTTAAGCCTGTTAGAAAAGATACAATGGCAACAATCTCTTTCTTAAATATACAAATGCAAATCGTATTTTTATATTTATTTTTCTCTTCTGGAACTTTGTAGTCAATAAATTTCAATTGGCTTCACTTAACATTTAGTCACAAGTGCCTTAGTTGCCCTCAACTTCTATTGTATTGTATTTATGTTACATATATTTGTATGAATAGTATATATGTTGTTGCGGGGGGGGAAATTTAAAACTGTGGTGAAAACAATATTTTACATTTGTTATTTGTTTGTTTGTTTGTTTTATCTATAAATCGTATTAAAATTTTACTAATACCCAACGTAAGCGGATTAAGAAAATGTGTTGAATATCATGTTGTTTATGCAACTAAAATGTGTTACGGTACCCAAGATCGGGGTAACCTAGCAAAAAAATAATTTTTTCATTTCGTTTGTTAAACACGCAAAAATGCGTTATGGAAACTACAAAAAAAAAAAAAAAATAAAAAGAATAAATGAATAAATAAATAGTCTTAAATTTAAAGTTTATTTAGTCTACTAGTTGTCCCATTACCTTTAAACTCATCATCCGACCACGGGTGGTGGAAGGATGTTTGTTTTAATACATCATTTTTATGATAATTAATAACAATTGACTTTACGGACAATTGTTGTGAGTTATTAGTGAGTCATTTCATTTGCAAAAATGTTAAATATTATATATTTGGCTTCTTTTTTTTTTTTTTAAATATATTTTATGAATAACGATTAGTGTTCATGGAATTAAATATTTTATCAGAAATAGAAACTCTTCCGTTTGGTCTACGATTAACCTAACCTTTCCAAGGGCACTTTTCAAATTTTGCTTTCAGTCAGCTTTGTTTCGGGCATTTTCAGACAAAATCACAGAACTCAGCTAACGAAACTAAAATTTGCTGTATAGGCTATTGGAGAATGTCTTAGGTCGAGCCTAAGGATGGGTGTAGGTAATTTACGTTTTAATCTTTCTAAAACCATTTCCAAGAAATCTGATATTTTGAAGTGATTTCCCTTTGACTTATATCTAGGAGCAGAGAAAGTGTTCATGTAAGGCCATCTTCAAAGTAAAGTGAAGCTTGCTTTCTTTTTTTTGAATTTCCAAACAATCCCTGTAATCGTATCAAAATTTAAAGGGCGTCTCGAAATGAGTAAAAGCCTTGTTTTTCTACATTTTTTCTTTTAATTCACCTCAATGAGTAAAGAGAAAGATAATTAGAAAAGTAAAAAATCTAGCAAAGAAGTCCGTGCGGCGAGCTTGGATCGTTCTTTTGTTCGCTATGGTGATGGAAACATGTGGATGTAATTGATGACAAATGTTTTCGGCATTGGGAAATTTAAATCGTTAGTCATTTGTTGTTTCTTGTGATGCGCTTCATGCTTAGGATGCCCTTCCAAAAAAGGCAGCGGCTTAAAATCACATAATCCTGGCAGTGAGTTCGAACATTGCTCTATGAGCTTAGTTGGAATCCCTCTTTATTTAATTAAATAAATTAAATTTGGCAATTTTTTTAAGAAGCACTAACACTTTTAATGGAAAGTGGAAACTTAAAATGCATATACTATAGCAACTAAGATGAAAGATTTAAAATTGCAGAGGAAACTTCGCAAACAATTAGTGTCCTACAAAGACCAGTCTGTGTTGTATTCGTTTGTGCGTTTGTAATAAACAACAGAAGAGATAAGTCGTGAAAATACGTTATAGATTATTTTTACGTCGAAAGGCTCGGGGATATGTCTGAAAATTGAAATGAAGTCTTATTCTTCCTTTCCAGATAAGCTTTGTGGAAATTGGTCTTATTTTTTGATAGCTATCAGAATCCGGATCGGACGGACTCATGACTTGTAATATGGCAAGGCATTGCACACTTAATGGAATATGTGGCATCTCGATGGAAGATATTAGTAACTCTGTAAAAGAACTGTGATCATTAACTCTCTTTTATTTAAGATCAGACGATTCCTACTAGATACATATAAAAGCGCTGTTTTTGGCCTTGAGAAGGGCGACATCACCATATTTTATTCTACATCTATTACTGGAAAATATTAGTGTTTAGTTTCTGTCATAAGTTATTTCCTTTGACACAAATATCCTCTAATCTGTTTTTTATGAATTATTTTATCGACATATCGATATATTTTGTGAGGTTATGTTTGCTTAAATTCGCATCACAATGCTTACGAGAACCTTTTTAAGCATGTTTTGTGCGTTGGGTACGACAAATCAAGTGGTTAAAAAGCGCGACTATTAAATAGACGTTAGCTGCGCTCAGCCTTCGGCGTGTACTCGTAACTATAGCAAGTGCTCCAGTCTGCTACCCTTTTCTCGCCACCTCTTTGTTATACGTACAGGAGACACTCCGTTTGAAGCTTTTTCCGAGCTTATCGTATAGGAGTAAGAAGGGCTATCACATAGCCAAGTAGTAATCAAGTCGGTAATACCTGCGGTTAATCCTCAGCGGGGTGGACACGCCTGGATCTCTGTTGAAGTATGCTTGTTACATGTTTAGGAAACATCACATCTGTGAGCAGTTATATTACACAAAAAAAAAAAAAAAAAAAAAAAGAAGTGAACAGTTATGGTCTAGTTTAACTTTTCATTTTTTGATCAGCAAACAGTCGAAGTGAAATTGAATTATTTTAATGAAGCGGATTTTATACTATCTTCATGTGAATGCCATTTAAACCCGCCAAATTTTTCGGAAAAAATCTAGCCCTCCGCTGGTCTCCTGTACATAATTACATGCAAGCAACAATGTACAACAACTTTATCATATAAACCTTGTTCGCAAATTGTTTCCAAATGTGCATACATTTCGCACACACACACACCGTAAGCTACGTTGGTCGCTTTCTTGGCAATTGATGATTTGAAATTCGTTCGGTTCGTTAGTTATTGTAAGGAGCAAGTCGTGGAAAGTTCCTTGTTTTCAGTTTGATCATCGTTTGTTTTCCTTTTCTCTCCTTACTGATGAGAGAAGATGAAATTCTGCAGCCATTAAATAAAACTTTCAGTTAATTTCGTGAAATTTATATAATGAGCCCTACATTCATAACCTTGTAATTATTTACCAGTTTATGTAGAACTTTTACCTACTGCTACTTTCACCTTTGAAACACTTCGTACAACAAAACCTTTTCCTTTTGTATTGTATTTCATTTTAGTGTTATTTTTCATTACATTTTCTTTTAAAGTGCCTTTTTTTACTGCCAAGCGACGATTTCATATATTTTTTATTTAATTTTTTTATAAAATGTTAAATTTCTTTTCTATTGATGTTGGTTGAAATTTGTTGTTTTCTGTTGTCTGGTCTTACGCCTTTTTAGTACCAACAATACAGTGGTGGTTAAAATCTGCATTTTATTTAATTTCCGCAATAAACATACTTTTATTTGTTAAAAGAAAGTAAACGAATACAAATATCACGTACACATAAACGCACGCATGCACAAGTTAACCGCAAACATTTTACGTAGATGCAAACGAATGCAAAGAGAAACTGTAGGAAAAGACCAAAAAGAACGAGACCGAATTTTGTTGAAAATATACATAAAAGTTAAGAGTTTAGAAGAAGAAAAGCAAAAGGAAAAAAAACGAGTATCTTTTTATAAATAGTTAAAGGATATATGTATAAGTAAATAAAGAAAACCAATAGAATAACATTTGCCGCTGCTTCCTCTTACCCCAGTTCTATCAGGCAAGTGAGATTGAAAAGAAAGAAATAAAAAGAAATTAAATAAATATCTGGTAAGAAATCTCTATGGTAAAAATTTTCTCGTGAATATAAGCAGGAATGTATATGTTTACATACATCTGCTCCTTTAAGTGGTAACAGATAAGATTCGAGAAGCTATAAAAATCCTAGGGTTTGTTACGTAACGCGATTTAAAATTCAAATTTGAAAGAGCGAGAAGCTCGCAACCATTATATTCTAATCTTAGGGTTATAAGTACAAGTTAACACGGTACGGTAGGGTAAGAACCAACATTACATAGACAACATCAAGCCAGGAGTCTGTGTTTCAAAATACGGTATTACATAGGAAGTGGTCCAATCCCAAACGGGATTGACGGCGACATAAAACGGTTCCGAGTCGATTGATGCAATAATAGCAGGAGAAGTATATAAGTGACGAAAATCCCAAATTTAACGATTTGAGTTTTCATGAAACGAAATTCGAAAGGAAGGGAATGCCAAATACACATCCTAATCCTAACTTGATTTTACTTGCCTTATGCAGCTGGCGATGGTCGAAAAGACTCGAAGCAGCATTTAGTGGGAAAAGCGATTAACACAAAAATGTCGAGACGATGAGGTTAGATACCGATAAATTGCCGGTAAAAAAGTGTATAAGCAGAATATTTGCGGATAGCAAAAGTCAGCCGAGTCAAGAGAGTTGAATCGTAATATTTATACGGACAAGAATGGTGGAAGAATTATTGTAATTGGTAAATAGATCTAAGAACTGCAAATAAAACTTGCACTGTCCTAAAACTCAAAAAGCAGATGTGCGAACTTAATTTCATGTAAAATTCGTAAAAGCCCGTTCTACCTTACAACATTAACATTTCACGAGTAATCGCGTACAGTGCGCACACTTAATATACACTCTGCTATTATCGTAGATGTAAGATATAGAAATGCATATCGCCTTTTATGCAATGGAAGCTTGAGTGAGCTGAGAATTTTTACAAGGGAAATTTCTTCAAGAGCTCTTCCTCAGCTAAATGCAATGGATAAAGTTTCGACAGGCTTGTAAAATCTTATGGTCACCGTTGGGAGAAAGCCATACTGTATTATCCGTTATTTAGTATAAGTTAGTAATGCAAACAGTTATTGCTTTTCTTTCATTGGAATATATATATATATATATAAATATATATA